ACCCTGGACTATATGAATCCCTTACAGTTCTTTTGAAGTTTTATCTCAACTGTGACAAAAGAGTATAAATGAATCATTTCACTAAGAATCCAACATAAAGCTTGGAGTATTTTTACAGCGCAATTTACAAAAATGTCTCTATATGTGTAGCTGCATAACAAGTTACAAGGCACAGAAAGTAGCAAAGTTTTATCTATTTGAGGCCTCAGTGCCAAGACGTAGATCAATTCTTAGCATTATTTCAAAATTAACTTCTTTGAAGGTTAACTCTTGAAAAAGCAACCTTTGATGTTTTACCAATTGTTTCCCATCTACATATACTAAATGAAAAGCTTTTAATACAGAAGTATGGGGTTTGTCTGTAGTCATCTCCTCATACAAAGCAACAACACTATGATAAAAACTGTTCAATATGCATGGAAGAGAAGAACACATTTACATACATAACTGGTCTGCCTTATTACTGTTCAGTTGTGGTTTTATATTTTCCCTTGTACAAAAACTCTGAAAGACAACTGAGTAAAATGACAAGATATCATGCCCATTACAATCTTTTTGTAAAGCTGGTTACAGAAAGTAAAGAGAACAAGGTAGAAACCTGAAAATATTAAACTAACAAATACCTTCATTTTATAACAAATTGCAGATGACTCTGTTTTTCACAGACTGCATTACAGTCTCTACTCTTGACAGTAAGATTTCTTCAGTTGAACTCAAGCAAGAAAACCAGTTTTCAACTGAACCATTGGCAGAATAAAGAAGCATTCAAACGTGTAAGAAACAAAACCTTGATTCTCAACTGTAAACAGCAGTTATCTGCCAATACTCAAAAAAAACAGGACAGGTAACAGGAACAGTACAGAGCATTGCATTTAAAGAACCCATTTGGTATAACAAATGCATGCTCCACTTACGGTCTCTCATACAATGGACAGGGAACCACCATTAGACATGAATGAGGGGAAAAAACCGCAACTAAATAACGGTCCAGAATGGAGGTAGGCCTAGCACAACTTAGTGAAGCCCACCCATTTTGACACCATTTCTTTAGTCCAATGTCTAGTAACTTACCTTTGCTTTTTCACTGGGTTCACTGGTTGTGCCATAGGGAGTGTTATGCAATTCCTTTGAGACAACACACAGAAATTCAGCCTGATCTTCATTGCCATAGTTATAGGATGAACCAATACTGACCAGCTGAAAGATGGGGAGGAAAAAAAAAGTCAATTGCATTTCCACATAAAACAAATCCCATAAATTCTCATCATTAGCACAAACACTCCTCACTCTTCAGACTCTTGGTTTTGCCTGAAGCATGAGTCTCCACTTCAATATAAATACATTTTGATGTTGACAAATACACTGACACTCTGATGATAAGACAAACACAGCTTTTCCTTTTAAAGATTTACAGAATTAATGATTTACAGTTATGATTATACTGTGAAAGAAAAGGCTACAGAGGCAGAACAGTGGAGAAGTAGCCCGTTCCCTGTTTCTGTTATTTACCGGAAACCTTCCCATCCGCCAAAGTTAATTTTTAAAAAGTTTGTAAGAGGTATCTTAACATGGCATGATTTAACATGTAAATGGCTGCATGCAGGAAGCACCTTAGCCTTAAGGGATATCCATCACTCTACTTACAGAATAACAGCACTTCTATTAAGACATATTTTGAGTGGACAAAGACAAAATTTGCATTTGATTGGCAAACAGCAAGACACAGCATGGTGGGACACCAAGATTAACATCTGAAACTCTTATGTACTGCTGCAAGGAAGTTAATTAAGGAAGCGCGAAAAGCAGAAGCCATGTATAATGAAGTGTGACATATTTACAAGCTTCTACAAGTCTCGATATTGAATGATAAATGACAATTTACTGAGAAAGAAGGATATACGCAACATCAGTACCACCTTGTATGCAGAATGTTTATCAAATGGCAGAAATTTCATGTAACGTGTCTTACCTTACACCCAGTGCACTTACCTAAAGCTAGAAGCTTTACATACCCTGCCTTTCCAAGCCAGAATCAATTCAGATATAGCTGGTTAATTTATTTTAAAGGTTTATTTCAAAAGCATGACAAGATAATGTACGGTGCTATTACTACTGACATAGATCAAAGTCCTAAAAATCAACTTGTTGCAGAGATACACTGTATCAAAATCTTATTACCAAAACTATATTAAATCTACCTACCAAATCATCACACACATGTGATAACGCTGTCCTATTCTCCAATCTCTTTTGTTTCATTAAAGTGCCCTGGTAATGGCCCATAGAAAAGGCTTGACTTATTTTTAGGGCAATAACACTTCACACACTGTAGCTGTCTATCTAAAACCAGTGTATTGCCATTAGTCTAGCAGAGCATCAAAGAAAGTAAAAGCCTTGTTAAAGCAGGGAAGATGTAGCCAAGATGAAACCTTGGTCCAGAATCTGTACTTGATGGATAACATTATTCCCTCAAGAAAAGTGGAAGGTAGATCAAGATTAAAAGCATCTTCCATATAGCACTGTCAGAAGAAAATAAAGCCTTGTTGTACTTTTAAGGAGAGAGAGGAGAGAGATGCTGAGATGTTCCAGCACTGTGGTAAGACAGCCAAGCAAGCACCTCCACAGACAGACAGAGCCAACGTCTACAAAGAGCAGCAGGGAATATGTCTGCACAATGAGCCAACTTGATGCCAGGCCTAAGCAATGCCAAAGTTTTTGGACCCTGATGGTATTTCAGCATTCAAGGTTCAGCCTCCAATGAACAACGCTGGCAATCAAAACTCGGCACTCTCAAACTACCTACTTTAACTATACTGTCTGGGTGTGATCACCAGAAACCCTTCCCTCCTTTCTCTACTCCTAACATCACTCTAGTTCTGCAAAATACATACTTAGTCAGTAATGAACACAGGCTGATCAAAAAAGAACGCAATAAAGACATTTTTCCACCAAAACCATGTAATGAAGTTACAAAACCCCACGTTGCTTTATTCCTCACTGGAATACAAAGGCACTATTTATCTTGAGACCATTCATCTTAAGTCAGCTAATCTTTCACAATGGATACTCTGCAGTCTGCACCATAAGGTATTTGTGTACTATAGAATCACAGTACTTAAGTACTTCTGGGACTTAATGGGGGCCTACAGGAAAAATGGGGAGGGACTCTTTTTATCAGGGAGTGTATCGATAGGACAAGGGGTAATGGTTTCAAACTGAAAGAGGGCAGATTTAGATTAGATATTAGGGAGAAATTCTTCCCCATGAGGGTGGTGAGACGCTGGCACAGGCTGCCCAGAGAAGCTGTGGCTGTCCCCTCCCTGGCAGTGCTCAAGGTCAGGCTGGATGGGGCTGGGAGCAACCCAGTCTAGTGGAAGGTGTCCCTGCCCACAGAGAGGGTACTGGAACTAAACAATCTTTAAGGTCCCTTCCAACTCAAACCATTCTGTGATTCTATGAAAACCCACAAAGTAACTAGTTGCTTTGTTGCACAAAATGGACTAAGAAAGTCCACTGAAAAGCTGGAAAATCAACCCAGACCTACTTTGTATATCAAGATGATTTGTTGATTCTCTTCTTTATCAGCAAAAAATATCACACACATGTTTTCAGAAAAAAAACCACCAGTTAAGCTGGCTCTAAGCCTGCTGAAGTGGCATAAAGTTTATCCTATATATTATATAGCAATTACAAACTACATAATACAAATACAGTAACTGTTTCAATTATTGAGGTAAAATGTAGGACTATTTTAAACAGTATTTTTAAGCCACTTAAAGGCTAGAAAACATTCAAAAAGTTGGATACACGTTTCAGTAAAGCCATGCATAATTCACCTTCTCTGAAGAGAAATCTGAAGAACAAAATTCAAGCATACGATTTGATTTAGTATACAGTCAACTTTCTTTCTTCAAAATGGCAAGAACTTGGTATCAGATAAGCTATGATAACAACTACCAGAAGGAAAAATACTTCTTTACTCACTGACACTCAAATGATGCCTCTGAAAGCTGATACGATACAAGATCCAAACATCAGCCAAATCAATAATCTTGGTTCAACAAGGTTGATAAGATTCTCAGCTGATAACGACTTACAACCCCCACTAATGCTTCATAATCCAAATAAGGTGACCTTTTGCACATAAGTCTTTTTAGGACATATGGCAGACTGCCTACTTATTAGCTAGTTGGATAGGACGATTGATTTATCTGACTGTGAAACATCTGGATGACTTTTTGCCGTTATTAATCAGCTGGTGCATTTCAAGATAAAGTCATGTTTGCAACATTAAACACAAGTTCTTCAAAACTCCAATACATGATACTCTTGTAAGCAGTTCCATATGTGTGCCACTAAGAACTTATTATTTGCATAGTATCAATAGCACACTAGAAACTTCATTGTAGCTTTTTGAGATGCATCAGGAGCAATAAGGGTGATGGCAGAAAAAGAAATAATGGAAAGTAATTGCAGATTAGAACAGAACTGTTGTGTCAGAAAGTATGATCAGAAATAAAGCAATATTTTAGCACTTGTTTTCCAAAAGTCACCCCATTGCTCCCAGTGTTGGTGGCAATACTTTAAGAAGGGTGCTGAAAAACTGGAAGGAATTGTTAAACTCCCCGACCCCATGTCTGCCTGTCCCGACCTCCCCTGCCACCAACAAAAGAAAAAAGAACCCACAACAAATCAGAGTAATCTGAGGTCTGCAAAACATGTGGTACAATGCATAAGAAAAGGATTTCAGATTATCCAGCCTACTGCTTCTCCAATTTTCTGAAAGGACAAACTCTTTTTGGCTCATGGGGCTTAAACAGTAGCAAGAGTTTTAATGACCACGAACCTAAGGAAGGAAAAAAGAACATTCTGAAACTCTGAATTTCATAATGTGTATGACTGTAGATACATATCCATGACTTGTTTCATTACATACACTCCTTACTAAAGCAGTGTGATTCTTGTTTCATTACATACACTCCTTACTAAAGCAGTGTGATTCTTGTTTCATTACATACACTCCTTACTAAAGCAGTGTGATTCTGCTTGAGCGTCCCTGTGAGACCAAACAGTGTCATAACCGAGCGTAGATAAATGCCAATATTACTTATCATAGAAAATTCATTAGATCATGATCCACTCACTGTTTGCATTGAGTAAGTGTGCTGACTAGTAGGCTATCAGCTGTAACTAAAACAGGCAGGAATGGAAAGCATCATCATTATTATTACTACTATTTAATCAACAAGAATATAGTTATATGCATTCTACTGCTTGATGTGCCAATACAGGCCAGGATTTTCCTGAAAAGACAAAGAAATTACAAGGGAAGTTCCTGTCTCATAAAGCCTGATGAAAGACTATTCAAGAAAAAGAGATTATAAAAAATGGTATAGCTGAGAGAATAGGTCAAATGATCCTTGCATCAAGTTAGTCAACGACAGCAAAACATATGAATCTCTTCCTCTCTTAAATCAATGACTGTACACCTAAAAATATCGCTATGTATAGGCAAAATGGTTGGTGTATCACTTTTAGCAACCTTACTTTTTGAAGTGAACAAATCTCATGCCTAACTGAATTGAGACAGACTTCAAAACCAGCCACATTTCAGTAACTTGCCTATAGAGATTTGCCATACTGGTTTAACAATATCGATTCAGAATCTATACAGTACTTTTACAGGACAAAATAGCAATAGAATTACCATTACAGATAACCACTCCAACTTGCACAAATAGCATACCTCTCTTTCTCTGCTTCCCACTGGAGTTACTCACATTAACTAATTCTTCTACTTCATGACTACCAATTTCATCCTCTTTCTGTGATGGTCTGATTCTCAAAACTGAGTAAATTTCATAACAATTATTCTCAACTTCTATTTTAAATACTCCTATACTTCTGTTTCAGATGTGGTGAACTCCTTGTACACTTGAAAGCTTGTCAGCTTGTCTTGGAAAGCTGTTTTTTTTTGTTTGTTTGTTTGTTTTTTTTAATTACACTAAGAGTTGATAGAATAAAAGGAAGTCATCCCCTCAACGTTTTTACAAAATCAAGTTGTATGAACATAAGAATGGCCTCTACGCCTTCTAGAGTTATAATGTGTTCGTTCTATTGCCTTCTCAAACAATTTCACAGAATCATTGGGTTGGAAGAGACCATCAACCCAACACCACCATGCCCACTAAACCATG